GTGGGTGCCGGGGACCCCCACCCCGTGCCGTGGGGCCGGTGTGGACCCCTGAGCTGTGAAGGGCGGACTCGGGGCCGGGGGTGGTGGTGGAGGAAGCGCAGACGCGTGGCGTGGGGAGCGCGTGTGCCTCGCGGGGCCGCCCTTCCCGCTGCGTGGGGTCCTGCCCACGCCTTGAGCTTCCACCGGGCTTGGGGTCCCTCCCACGTGAGGCTGTGCTGTGCGTAGGGGGTCTGTGTTTTGGCTCACGGGAGATAGTGTACAGTAGCGTGTTTTTTCTAGCGCCACTACTTGCATAAAATATTTTCCAAGAGAAGTGCAAGCTGTGTCATCTTACATTAATTATTAAAGGCAATCTACGTGATGTGCAGTTCTGCCTTGGAAGTTTTGCATCTCTATCTTCTCCAAGTCCACACCTAGTGCAGTTAAGGATGGACATTACAGCCTGGTAGTGGTGTGCACAGACATCTGTAAGTGCTGCAGAACATGTCCCTGGGCCAAGGGGTCCTGGTTTGTCCCTACGTGACAAAAGTGCATGCAGGTAATAGAATGGTAAGACTACACATGCTTGTGAAGTTAATATTTGAATTAATATTCCTTCACCGAAATCCTGAAATATTCTTAAAGAAATTGGTCAGAGACAGGTGTTTCTAGCCCCAGTTTGTGTCCCTGGTAATGACTGGTAGCGGATCCCAGGGACAGTAGAACAGTAAGGTGAATGGATTGATGGTTCACCTTGAACCATCTCACTCTGCTCTGTACATCCTTAGCATTATGCAGGTCTTGAAAAAGTCTTGTTCATTTCCCACCCCCACCATCTCACTGTTTGCCCACTGCTTGTTTGAGCCCAGGTACACTTAGTATCTCTGGTAGGCTTCTACAAGAAGTTTGACAGCTTAGCTGCAAGCCTCATGAAGACCCATCTTCTTTGTGTGTTTTCAGAACACGTCCCTTGGCTTTCCTGTAGGAAGCCCATGTGTCATCTTTTCACTGCTTATGGGTCAGCATAATTAAAATCTAAACCCAAGCTGCTTTCCCAGGCTTTGCTGTGTTTACAGAAAAGCAAAAGACAGAGGAAATAAGACCAAGAAAGAAGTACCTTGTTTTAACACTGACCAAAGTCTTTGTTAGCCTAATGCTAAGAGGAAGTCTGGAAAAGATTCCACCAGGCCAGTTGTGAAGGCTTCAGCCCTTAGCTTATTAATAGTTCTGCTTTTGAGTTGTGGTTTTGAATTTTATTTTTTTTTTAGTATGAACTTACACTTCTTTTTGTTATTCTCCTCTTTCTCCCACCAAATGTGTTAGCTGCTCACCTTTGTTCAAGCCTTTTGTTTTGAATTAGCTCTATACATAATCTTTTGGAACAAAAAAAATACTCTGCTGTGGCTCGGGTAGGTGGGGTTTATAAAGGTTGTACTTCCATTTTCAGTGAGAAATACGGCACCATAAAAAACTTAGGAAAAAACAGTATGCCAACTGTGAGGGTTATTTGAGGATGCCGAAATGGTGATTTATTAAAGAGGTAACATTTCCTTAAACTGAGCTTTTATAACAGCTTCCTACAGCTAGCATCAATTAGGGAAATCCTATAATTTCTAGTATGTCTGGTAAACCTGTGTAGTCACAAACCAATTATACACTTTTAACCATTTTTGGCTTTTGACAAAAGGATATATTTGAAAGTCAGATGCTTGTTCATTGAGCTTTACTGCAAAATGAACAAGGAACAGTTACATAAAACATACAGCATATAGTTACAAACAGGGAAAAAGCTGGAAATAGTTTCTTTTCAGTTCAGGCTGTGCAGGAATTCCTGGTGGCACATTAGCAAGGCTGCTGGATACTTTCATTCTTATTTTTCTTAATGCAGAATTATGAAAATCTTCCTTAAGCATTGGTAAATGGTACATTGCGTGTGGAAGTTGCTCCTATATGAAGGCAGAGTGCATGGTTCAGAAGAAAAGTGAAGTTCTTAAAAAGACAGGTTTCTGGACTAAATTTACAACTGGGCTAAGTCAGTTCAGTCTGTGTGTTCTGCTGATTCCAGCACTTCACCATCCAGCAGCGTATAATGTTTGAGTTGTGTTTGGCGGGTGGTTTGTGGACCCAACCAGGAAGACAATAGTCCTTTTTACACTTTTTTTTTTGTTTGTTTGTTTTGGGGGATTAGTTTTTCTATTTGGTTGTAAGGTCATGATTCTAGGATACTGAAATAACCTATGGTGTCAAAAGACAGCACTAAGGTTTTCTTGCTTGTTAGCTTGCCTGACAGTCATCATGTATAGAGAGTAGGAGTTGCAAGTGAAAGCCTAAAATGTTTTGTGCAAAGACTGTACAGAAATTTAGAACAGTTTAATTCCTCATAGAGAGAATAAATTACAAGGTCTGTGGCTGATGAAATAACTAGTATCCCATTGCATGACCAGATCCCCTTGTGCATTTTTTCCTAAACATCTTCTACCACCACCTTATCCCTGCTATCCTGCCTTCACTCCACCTGAAACTTAATATATGCTGGAAAGGAAAAGTATCTGAGCTTAAACTGAAAGTGGTCATAGACTGGTAGTTTTGATTAATGAAGGCTATGGATTGAAATGCAATCATATCTATGTTCATGCCTAAATAATTAGAACACAATAAACCAGTACAATCTAAAAATATAAGCTTGTATATTATTTAATAGTGTTCTACTTTCAGTGTAACTGTGCATTGTTCACTTTAAGTGTGCATTATTCTTACATCTTATACTGGACAGTAGCAGGATCAGACATAGTTTATCTTAGTATAAGCTATTTCTAAATTACATAGGCCTTGATTATGGTGAGAGGGAGCGGCAAAACATGCGCAACCTTGATTTTTAAAGTATGGCTAAATTGCAGTAATGATGGGTACTAGTATATGGAATATAACAAAATGGTTAATGGAAATGTTTTATTAATTTTTTTTCTTAATGACAAGGAGAGCTAGCACTCTTTTTTTTTTTTTTTTTTTTTTTTTTTTTTTTTTTTTTAAATTCTGGAGGTACCTTTTAAAATTAATTTTGCTTTGGTACCCAGACCAGATTTCCAGAGAAATAACTGTATAGTACCCAGTCAGTGGTTCATCTTGCTGTCACTCCTGTTGGAATGTACATATAATACTTGCAGATGCAAGAAACTGTTAGAAGTGTGTTTTCCTTAGACCTTTCATAATTTCCTTAGAGGCTGAGGTTTTGAAGCAACAGTTCTTGTTTTCACCATAAACACTTTGACATCTACTATTAAATGTCTGGTCTAAGTTTATAAATGCATAGTTTTGTCTGAATCTTCCTAAGTTCTTAGGTAAATGGTTGCCCATGACTGTTGATGGGATCAATGTCTAACTGCAAGTGGACAGAAAGTAGTTACTTAGTGACTTGACAGGTCTTTATACCTCTTAGTTGAAGTTGTCACCATGTTACAGATAACTGATCTCCAAGATGCCTGTTTTAGGTAGAGCTGCTACCAGCTGTGGGTTGCAGCACTTGCAGCTTTCACAGAATCATAGAGTAGTTTGGGTTGGAAGGGACCTTTAAAGGTCACCTAGTCCATGGGCAGGGACACCTTCCACTAGATCAGGTTGCTCAATGCCCCATCCAACTGACCTTGAATGTTTCAAGGGATGGGGCATTTACCAGCTCTCTGGGCAACCTGTTCTAGTGTTTCACCACCCTCATTGTAAAAAAATCTCATCCTTATAGTTAATCTAAATCTGCCCTCTTTAAAACTGTTACCCCATGTCCTATCCCTATACTCCCTGATAGTGTCCCTCCCCATGTTTTCTGTAGCCCCCTTTAAGTACTAAAAGGCTACTATAAGGTCTCTCCAAAGCCTTTTCCAGGCTGAACACCCCCAACTCTCTCAGCCTGTCCTCACAGGGGAGGTGCTCCAGCCCTCTGATCATCTTTGTGGCCTCCTCTGGACCCCCTCGAGCAGGTCCATGTCCTTCTCGTGTTGGTGCCCCCAGAGCTGGACACAGCACTGCAGGGGGGGTCTCATGAGACCAGAGTAGAGGGGGAGAATCCCCTCCCTCACCCTGCTGGCCACACTTCTCTTGGTGCAGCCCAGGACACAGTTGGCTTTCTGGGCTGCAAGCAAGTGCATGTTGCTGGTTCATGTCCAGCTTTCCATCCACCAGTACCCCCAAGTCCTCCGTAGGGCTGCTCTCAATCCCTTCGTCCCTCAGCCTGTACTGATACTAGGGGCTGCCGCGACCCATGTGCAGGACCTTGCATTTGGCCTTGTTGAACTCCATGATGTTTGTATGGTCCCACCTCTCCAGCCTGTCCATGTCCCTCTGGATGGCACATCCTTTCCCTCCAGCATGTTAACCATACCAATGCAGCTTGGTGTTGTCAACAAACTTGCTGGGGGTGCACTGAATATCGCTATGTCTTTGATGAAGTCATTAAATAGTACTGGTCCCAGCACAGACCCCAGAGGGATTACTGTTTGTGACAGTTGTGACCTCAGATTTTTGACTGGTGTCTTATGGCTAATAATGAGCCTGAAACTGTTATTAGCATATGTCTGTATCTTCTGTTATTCTATAAATCCTGTTCTGCATTTTGGCAATTACATCTTGAAGTACAAAGTAGGAATGTTTCACTGTATTTGAAATTTAATCTCTTTTATATTGTAGAAATTATAATTCAGGTTTTGTTAAAATGAAATCCCCTGTGGAATCTGGTGTAAGCATCATAGTGATGCACGAGGAAGAGCTGAAGGAAGGAACGATATGGAGCATAAAATCCTTGTACTTGGAATTCTTGCCTTCTTTTTTTTTTTTTTCCTTGTAATTAAAGCACAGTGTGGAGCATCCACCAGTATTCTAGTCCATAGGTTAGAATACCACTGAAGAAGTCTAGTTGTGTAATAGTCTGGTTTTTAATTTATTTTTATTTTTTTTTAAGAA